CGACCACCTTAGTACAGTCCCTTCGCAGTTTACACGTTAAAGACACTGGATATAGCGACCACCTGTCCAACGTGACCAGCGACCACCCTATTGTAGACCTATTCACACTTTAACCTTTGTATAACGACCACCAACATTTCCATCAGACAGTCTCGGCAAAAAGACAATAGCTACTTGCGAATCGCTAACAGGAAAGTGGCCATATGTTACGTTCAGATTACCGAGTACGCAATCTTTAGGGCTAATAGACAGGGGTGACCATCGCAACTTGGTTTGTGAAGTTGCGAAAAAGTAAAAAAAAAAGTTGATTATCATCTGAATGTAACGTCTGGAGACTGGACAGATTTTAACAACAAATTAAAAAAGTTTCATTCAAAGTTTGAAATGAAAAACTAGCTTGTTTCGATCCGTATATACTATCGATTTCCAGCCGGCCAACGGCACTTCTGTGGACTGTCTCGCACATGAAGAGCAAATTCCTCCCGTCTCGAAAACAAAGAAAAATGAACCAGTTTATAAATGAGAGATGTTTTATTTACTGTCGACATGCAAATATCCAAACAAAATAATAAAACATTCGTTTATTTCGTTTTCCTCGCTGGGATTGCAAAATCCGACCTATTTTGGCCGCCATGTTGTTTGTTGTTGATCGTTATAAATTATGCTAATGAAGCTAGCGCATGGGCGTATTGTTACTGAGGGGTCATCTCAGGGTTATTCTCAACGAAAGATGTTTTCTATTTTGATCCTCTTTTTTTTATAAAAGGTAATATCAATAATTCGCAATCGAGAAAATTCGTTTCGTTTGGGCAGTTTTGACACGTCGATGCTTGCAACAAATAACTGTAAAATTGCGTGTACGATCATCGTGTTTCATTTCCGGTTCGTTTGACTTTCTGATTCAACACCGAGAGTTGGAGCAATCGTTATGAGTTTGGTAAATTTTGTTTATTACCAATGCTTCTTCATATTTAATGCTTGTTTGTTTTTTCAAACACGCAACTTTTCCTGTGCATTTTGTCACAGTGTACATTCGACAATACTAACGATGGGACTGATTGCCGCCTGTGATGGAATATGTGTAA